CAAAAAATTATAATTATCAATTCAGAAAAATTCGTAATATCCTCACTACAAACGATAACCATTGCAAATTCGAAAAATCTACTAAAGTCACTATATTGCGTAAAAGAAATCTACCTCACAAATCTACCACTTTCAAAACACTATTCAAATAAAACAAAATAATTTTCAACACATCGTTATTCAAATCAGCCATAACTGTACCTATTCAGAAAGGTAAATTTAACCATTCACATTGAGCAATAAATGGAACGGAGAAAATGATACCCAAGAACGAACGCAAAAGGATAATTCGAACGTTTTCAGTATGCGCGTAAATTCGCAATTTAAACGTAACCATAAACGTAGCACACCGTTTAGGAAAACAAAGTTGAAGTTACCGCTGAATGAAGCAACAATTGAGATAACTTTACGCGTTCGAATAAGTAAAAGTGAAAATACAGTCGAAGTATCGTACTTCAATTTATTCCTGTAGAATTGTAAACGTTCCTCCGCTGATATCGGTATTACACTGACACCGTCATCAATTAACGTCTACTAAATACGGTTGAAAATTCCTGTGGGAGGATCCGCGCGAAGATATACATTATGGATTCCAAAATTGGCTTTGACATATAGCGCATAAAACACGGTGTTTATAAGCTTGATAATGGCGCCGGTTCCTCAGGTTCTTTGCATATTTAAAAACCGATCAGCTCCGCGTTTATGGACGCATAACCATTGATATTTCAGAGAAATTTGCCTCGCTAAGAAGATTTTAATAATACTATAATTAATATATTGACGTAAATCAACAAACTAACTTGATTTTACTGATACATGTGAATATTTTTAATCATTATTGCTTTCTACGTTTCTCAAGGTTTTCACATTTTCTGCACTTCTAATCTTGAAATTGCTATGACTTCTTAAATAATATAAAATAATTAAAAAGAAAATTTATAAATTTTGAAAATTAATATTTTCCATTTTTTACTTTGTACTTAAACTTTAGCATTATAATATATTGTGAGTTTATGGTGTATAAGCAATTCTACTGTTTGTTAAATAATTTTTAGCAATAGTATAATTTAATATGGCCATCTGCGTAACTTTAAGAAAAATGTCAGCCTCAAGGAGTTAACTTATAATTACTTTCCTGTAATGTATAACGAGTATAGTAATAATATTTTGCGCAACAATATTTCCAATTATCACAATTTTCAACACACTACGCATAATAATTTCATACGTTCGCATTAACATGAAGGCTTTCATTTCAAAAAAAAAAGTTCAAACG